AGCATCCCAGCCCCTCGTCTGACCCGGGATAGAACGCGGTGGGACTATGAAGGGGGAAAACGAGCAGCACCAGAGCACGGTTTAAAAGCACGCGTTGGATCACAGACTGAGAATTAAAAGAAAAACAAATCTCCAGCCCCAGAGCCGCCACCTGCAACGCTGCTTCAGCAAATCCTGGGGCCCTGCCAGCGCCTGGAGCGTCCCGGATTTCTGCCTTTCCACAGGTTTGTCCTAAGCTCAACTCTGCTTCCTGGAAGCAGTAATACTGGGATTCCAACCAAGCCCTTCTGGCCCGGTTCATCTTCCTAGGATATCATTTTAGCGACAAAACTCCCCTAAAACACCAAAAATGGATGTTTGTGGTTCCAAAGTATTATTTTTTTTTTCTCTCCTTGGTGATCTGCATATCAAATTCACTTCATTTATGAAACAGGAGACGGAGGAAAGGGCTTGTTTGACTTATTTTCTTCCTCCTCTGCCCGCGCCAGCTCCCGCAGGCCAGCCCAGCCTTCCCAGCATCGCCAGCGCAGCAGGAGCGATGCTCCCAGCCCTCGGGCAGAGAGGCTCCCGGAAGAGATCTGCTAGGAAAGCAGCAGCCAACATGCAAAGCACCGTCACCCAGCCCCAGCATGCTCAAAAGGCCTCCTTATATATATTTTTAAGATGTTTTATTCAAAATTTTCCCCCTGTTTCCCAGCTTTGCTCCGCTCTAACAGCCAGGACAGCGCACGCTCCCACACAGAACTTCTCCAAACCCGCACCAGGGGCTATTGCTATGAGAAACAGCAGCTCCAGGGGCTGCCTGGAGCCCCAGCAAGGGAAAAACCCACCCCTAGGCGATGCAGACACCCATCGCGAGCTCTCCGAACCCCTGCTTTCGAGAGAAACCCCCAGCAGCCCCATAGTCAGGCTGGGGGGCCAGGAACCGCCGACCCGCAGCTGGGAAGCTCCCACATCCCACCGGCAACTCCCGCAGCCGTCCGGTCCCACCTTTCATTTCCAGCTCAACTTTTACCCTCTTCGCTTGGCTTCCAAGTTCAGTTGCAGGCACCACCCTCGTTACAATCACCTCTGGCACCGCTCTGCCAACCCGCAGCGCTTCGCCCTCGGCTCCCGCTCGCTCCCCCCGCATTCGGGCGATTTGGCTTTCGCAACGCGTCCCAAGAGTTCCTACCCATTCGGGTTTATTTTCCCCCCAACAGCTTCACTCCAGCCAAAAGGCCCGAGAAAGGGAGACAGTGTAGGGGACTGAGAATAAAAGGAAAAAACTGTGCCAAGGGTGGTATGATGGGAGAAACCCTCCATTTTAAGTTAGGAGTCTGTCCGCTCCCCCGGCTGCTGTTTGAGCCGAGGACGGGGTGATTTAGCAAAAGGCTCACAGGCACGGCGCACACGGCTCACTTTTACTCCTTACTGCAGCTCGGGGCTCATCTGGGGAGCAAGGGGGATTTTTTTCCCCCACTTGTACCCCTCAAAGCCACACGCCTGGTGCTGGGGATGGGTGGAGGGCTGGGATCCCTCACTTCAGGACACGTTTGCAGCAGCTATTTAAGAGCTTAGGGGGATTTTCAGAAGCACCCAAGCCGGTTAGGTGCCTAAATCCCGCAGAAAGTCCCTTTAACTACCGCTACCTTCCTAAATCCCAGCCGGTGTTTATTAATGTCATTAGACACTTAAATACCACATCCAGACTTGTAATCCCACGGCTGGGAAGCTGCTGACCACCAGCTCTGCAATCCCAGGGCAGGGGTCCCCCACTTTGGGGCAGAGCAGGCAGGCACCCACTCGTGCCACCCCCCACCCCTCCCCTGCCCACCCGGGGGACGCGGCACAGCGAAAGCTGCTTGGGTTTCTCTCTTTCCTCCCCGCTCTATCGCTGCGAGCATCGCGACGAAGGGAAGATCACTATCTACAAAGTCTCTTTGAGCTGGGTGTAAAACAAAAATTGTATTTCCCCAGTCCCAGCGTGGGATAAACCTCTAGAGCAAGGGGCAACCTGAGCGTGCGATGTTCGGCACGCCGGCAGTGCCCGGGATGCACAGATGCAGCTGCAGTGTTCGGAGGCACCCAGTGCTGCAGCTGCAGGTACCACAAACCCGACCCTGGGTACTGCACATCCCTCCCAGCAAACTCACCAGCACTCCAAATCTGGGGTGGTTTTTACCCTTCTGAGGTCGCAAGGACAGGGAAGGGGGCTGCAAGGTGGTGCGGACCCTCACAGCTCTCCTTCCCCCACCCTCAGGCCAATTTAATTCTACAGACCTCTCCGACAGCGTGGGGAAAGAACATGCCTGAGCAGGTTTGGCTTGTATCATGTCAAATGCACTTTAATCGGTGATAATTTCTGCATGCCTGCTGCATCCAAGTGAAAACGAAACGTGCGTGCTCCCCCCTGCTCTGCAGCTGAACGCCCCGCCGCAAGCTGATACGAAACGCAAGCGGCTGGCGGGGCGGGACCCCCCGCCGCAAGCTGATACGAAACGCAAGCGGCTGCAGCGACGGGAACACAGCGATCAACTTCTAAAGGGCAGCTCTACCAACAGCATCACGGGATGTCTGCAGTTAGCTACAACCCAGGAACGGGCAGCAAGCTCCAGTTTTAAGAACTGCGAGGGATTCAGTGAGATTCTCCCCTCGCTCTGCTGTGAGGAGCAGGGACACGTGGCATGAACACCGCACGTGGACGCCTGATGTTCAGGGGACGCTGCACCCGCTCTCCATCCCGGCCGCTGGACTGTAATATTTTGATCGATAGCTTTATTCACACCCACGGGCACATGATGGTGCCTGCTGTTTGCTTCTCCATCCCTTCGACCGAGGGACAGCAACACGATAAACCTGGGAGGGGACGGGGAAATAAACACCGACCCGGCCAGTTTGTGAATGATCCACTGGGCGAGGAGTTGTCGACCCGGGCTACGAACCGGTGAGCAGCCAGCGCCGGCGCAGGGACCTGAATGGGGTCGCGATTAATTCACACGTGCACACACAAGAGAGCTGAATTCATGGGATGATTTTATTTCCTGTGATTAATTTGGCCAGCTCTAATTCCACCATAAACCAGATCAACGCTCCACATCTTGCTGAGGTCTCTGCCTTCTCCCTGCCCACCAGCATCAGGGCTTCAGCAAGGGGCAGTAATTGGGGGTTCTGGTTTTGGGGGGGTCTGCAAGCAGCACGAGCCACGGGACCATTCGGAAAGCAAAAAGAATGCAATGAAACCCCGAAGGCACAGATTCACAGAATGGTGGGGGTTGGAAGGGCCCTCTGTGGGTCACCCAGCCCAACCCCCTGCCCAAGCAGGGTCACCCAGAGCAGGCTGCACAGCACCGCGGCCAGGCGGGGCTGGAAT